CTGATGTTTACTGTTCATTTTTTAGAAATATCAATAGCATTTGTATTAAAACTATATTCACTGAATGTAATAAAAAAAATCGACAATCGAATCGAGAGCTTGCGAATCGAAATCGAATCGGGACATCTGAATCGATACCCAGCCCTAGTAAGTACATTTTTTTATATTTAAATAATTTGCCACTGACGATTCAAACAGCAAGTTTTGAGTAGTGTAGAGTAGCGTTTGTTGTTTCTCCGATCACAAATGCAGACATGGGGGCATAGAGGAGAAACAATAATGTACAGTATGTGGAAAATAATGTGTTTTTTAACCTTAAACCGCATAAACACATTGCATTACACCAAATACTCCAAATAATGTTCTTTTTAGCAGCATCATATGACCCCTTTAACAGTTTGACACATGTCTGGCTTCAAAAGTTGAATGGTGGCCAAAAAAGTTAATGAGTTAACCTCTTATGCTCTTCCATTACTCTGTACTCATAACTGTATCTCTGATACAGTTTGTAAAAGTTCAAAATCTTACTTCACTTAATAAATAATGCAGCAAATCTTTCTCATGTTTAAGTATTATGGATACATACTTTAAAATGTATAGTTTAGTGGCGTCTTGCTCTCTTTTGCAAGTCATGTTTCATATCTTGTCTAGGACAGCTTTTCTTTAGACTGAATTTGACTAGACGTTAGTTATAATATATAGTCATAAAATTTCAGATTGTGTTCTCAGATACACTTAGATTTAAAAGTCTGTGGTCAGATTTATTATTCTTAAAAAATGATTTTATTCAACAAGGATGCATTAAATTGATCAAAAGTGACTGTAAAGAACATTTTTATGTTAGAGTATCTCAAACTTTGACACTGAGTTAATCTGCAGAGAGATTAGAGGTCTGATTGTAACCGTAGATAAAGGGCATTGGTCATCATTTGTTAACCCGATCGGTACGACTGTAGACATGACCAAATGACGACAGCAGTGAACGCTCTTTTCTTTATCACGATTTAACACTGTGTGAAACTTTGACCCAGCCTGAGCTGCGTGCTGAGTTTGCAGTTGTTCATCTGATGCTGATTGCTAAAAGATGGATTTGCGCGAGTGGGGAGGTTGGAGGATTGACAGTGTAATAAAAGCAGATGAGGGGACCCCTTTGTTTGCTCAGTGGCTTCCTTAAAGTCTGTCCAGATCTGTGACAGGCACAGAAGTATTGGCAGAAACCGAAGCACAAGACTGCCATGCAGATCTCTTGTAATGGCGAGCACTGTGGGAAAATATTTGGGCACTGAGGCCGCACACTTGTGGATGTTAGTGAAAATGAAAATTCTTTAATTTACTTGCCTTTTATATCATTACAAACCTGTATGACTTGTAAGATTTTGAAGAACTGTCCATACCATAGAAGTCAAAGGAGTCTGGTGTCATTTTGCACCCCATTGACTTTCATTGTGTGGGCAAAAACAGTTCTTTAAAATATTGTCTTTTGTTTTCTGTAAACACAAACTAAGTCATACGGGTTTGAAATGTCATGAGGGTGAGTAAATGGTGACATAATTATAATTTTTGTAGGAACTATCGCTTTAAGTGGCTTGAATTCATTTTGGTTGGTGTCATTACATGACAGAAGACAAAAGTGTTAGAAAAAGATGTTTAACAGCTAAGAATTGTTGTATTACACCTTTTAGGTGTTGTCCTCATGATGGTTGGATTTAGGGCTGCACGATATATCGTTTCAGCATCGATATCGAGATGTGCGCTTCCGCGATTGTCACATCGCAGGATGTGTGATGTTTAGTATACTGATCGTTATATTTATACTGATCGCTTTCGCGACACCTGCTGCGTCTCGCTGCGCCGCCCCACGCTGTCTACACTGGACGCGACAAAGTGACCGTTGCAAATCCTTTGAACTTTGTGTCAGTACATCATAAAAAGAATGAGGGATTTACTCTCGGGGATTTGTCATGCTGCACCGCGCTGCATCCAGCGTAGACAAAGCTGATTATAATGGGTTCTATTGTATTTTGTTGCATCGCTCCGTGCCCCTCGCGTCCAGTGTAGACACGGTGAGAGCCACGTGCAGATGCACGAGAACACTGAATTCCGTTCACTTCTGCGTCTATTTGTGCCTAAAATGACACATACGCATGAAACTGTCAAAATGCATGTCTCTGCAAGTATCCTTGTAAACACGGTTGCTTATGTCTTAGGTGAAGGTAAACAACTGAGAAAGAAAATGGATGTGTAACAGTATATTGGTTCACAGCAGTTTAATGTTCCTAAGGCTTTCTGTCATGAATGTTAATCAAGGAGCAAAACACAGAGAAAAATCACTTTTGTAGCTTAAACACAGATTTATTAGATTTAATTTATAGTGAAGACTATGCAGTGTTATTTTACATTTCATTATTCAACCAGTATACCTGAATACTGTTAGACTTACTGGAAAAATATAAAGCACGGTTTATTTAATTTATATCTATGTTCTATTAAATGTATCTGTTTGTAATTTGTTTATTTTTCTATGCTGATTTAATCACCTACAAAATCACCCCAATCATTGATTTTTTTTTTTTCATATCGCAATATACATTGCAGAAATATAAAATATCGCAATGTGAGTTTTTTCAATATCGTGCAGCCCTAGTTGGATTGAGCCTATTATGTAGATTATCATTTAAAATGGTGTTTAAATATGCATCATCATAATGACAGTCACAGGTAGCGCTCTTAATTTTCTTGGCATGCTCTAAATAGGCCTATGCGTATGGATCACAATCAGGTCCTGTGGTTCACCCTCTTCTCGCTGTCATCATGCTGTCACCGCTGAACCAGCTCTCCAGCTCACAGGCTAATGTCAAGGGATTAATGTCAAGAGGCCCAAATAGG